AAAAAAAAAAAAGTAATCGATCGCAGGATCAATGATAGGCCCTCACATCGCAATTGAATTTAATAATTACTCTCAAAATGTAACGATAGAATTTTAAATCGAAAACTCGTGTGTGTGCCTCTGTTTTGACTGATTTAAAAAGATTTATCTTTCATTGATAGGAACATGGCGATATAAATGAATTATTATCACGAAAATATATATTCCCACTTGGACGGGCGTAGCCGATTATTACTTTTAATAAACAACATTTAAAACGAATATTAAAAGAATAAGAAAAAGAACGAGAAAAAAAAGTCAAATTGTTGAATAAAATTTTTGTCGAAAAATTTTCGATTTAAATTCAACGTATCTTCCTTCGAGATATTTGACGAACAATGTTTTTATTTTTATATACGTCTTGCTTTTTTTTTCTTTATACTTTTTCTTTTAATGCATGTAATATAATTTTACATACGTACGATAATAATTTTCGTAATGTGAAATATTTTATCATCGAAATATACACGCTTTTCGTTAAATAACAATGTTGCTGCTTCTTCGCGTTTGTTTTTTTTTTATCAACAAAAGAAAAAAAAAGATAATAATAATAAAAAAACAAAAGTAAAGATATATACGAGAAAATTACTTTTTTACAAAAAAATTATTGCAAATATATATATATATATATATATATACACATATGTAAATAAAATAAAATAAAACACGTACGCAAATTCAAATAAGATAACGGTAAGTGTCGTGATGATTCAAACTCATACGATTGATCTCCTATTCTTTCACAATAATTTTCTTTTTCGTAACGATACCGAAGACACATAATTCTTTTCAATAAAGAATTTTTCCTCGATTTAATGATAATCACATTTCGTTGTTTTTTAATCATTCGATCATGTATGTATTCATGTTATTTTCCCCACTGAATTTACATTATATATATAGAATGAACAACGAAACAAATGGTCTAAGTTGTTTCACAATTCTGTTAATGCCGCAGCACACCGAGCCACGTGAATTAAAATATATTGAACACATTATAAATATCAATTAAAATACAACATAAAAAAGGAGAATTTTACTATATAAACAATAAAAAAAACTTAAAATTGAATAATGTTTGTTTCCAACAATGTATAAAATTCTAAAGAAAATTTTAAAAATTTCTTTAACGAAAAATTCAATATTTACGTGCGTTTCTATGTACGCGCTTATGCGGTTTATATATACGTGTGTGTATGTATAAACAAAAAGGATATAGAAAAAAAATATTAACAAAAATTCTAAACATTCTACAAATGTCAAAAGCAAAAAAATTGGAACCGCAACTACAATATTTGTGTTGGTGTGTGTGTGTATGCTAGAGACGAAAGTAAAAAATTAAAAAAAGCTAGACAGATACAGTGAATAGTTTCGATCGAAGGGAAAGACAACGACAGACAACTCGACGTCCGTAAAAACATGTGCTCTAACAATTTAAAATAAAATAAAAAAATAAAAGAGAGAGAAAAAGGGACACTGCGAAAAAGTAGAATTCTATAGCAAAAAAAAGGAAAGGAAAGAAAAGAAAAAAAAAGGTATAAAAATAAAAATTGTTACTTCTTTATTCTCTGAATAAAGAAAAACAAGATGGAGATATTTAAAAGTATAAATAAGACAAAAGTAAACCTGAAAAGAGTAAAAGAGAACAAAAAACAAAAAAAATACCACACGCCCGCGTACGATCGATGATTTTGAATTGCACTGAAAAATTGAATTAAAATATTTGAACGACATTTCATTGTTAATGCATCAATGAAAGCCATTCATCCAAATGACTCTCGTAAGATACTCCTCCCTCCTCCATTAAAATTAGGAACTTCAACTGTTTTACGATATTTTGTCTGTAACATATCGGGTTGAGGACGTTTAATAAAATTGTTCCCATTCATATATTCTGTAAATTAAACAAACTAAACTCGATTCAAGAAAATCTATCAAACCAAACCGAAACAACAAAAGAAAGTATGATCAAATTAAAAAACAAAACAAAAACAAATGATCAAACAACAATTTGTTACTCTCGATCTACATTTCAATCCAGATTAAATTCAAACATTCGTAATTTTACGAGGCAAATCGATTTAAATAACTAACGATAGAGTTAAACCCTTTCGCTCTCTATTGCAACCCCTTTCTACAACCGTGCATAAAAATAAAAATAAAAATAAAAAAAAAAGAAAAAAAACAGTAGGCAAGAGAAACAATATTTTAAAAGGGCAGTTAATAAAATAAATTAATAAATAAACGAGTAAAAAAAGAAACAGAAAAAAGAGAAAAAAAAAAAAAAAAATATTTGAAGGTTATTACTTTTTGATAAGACTGTAATACGCGGCGCGACGGGATAATATAAGCGCGGAGGGTGCACCCCAATATGCGTTCCGACGCGCGTACAAAATACGTTTGCCGTTCGTACATGTTCGTCTCTCGGTGCCAAGTCGACGACCAGTAGTATAGTAGCGAGAGAGGTAGTACAGTCTACTTCGAAAACCGATTCGAGACTTTCCGTTTCTCTTCGTCTCTTTTCGTCTCGAGTATATTCTCTCCCTATCTATCCTTTTCTCTCTCTCTCTCTCTTGCAACGCGATATCCTCGTCTTTGTCGTACACACGTTCGTACGGTCCTTTTACTCCCTCCCTACTACTATCTCTCTCTTTCTCTTTTTACTACACACACCACATCACATTCAAACGTATACTCTTTCCGTTTGTGTGTGCAATACGTCTATCTCTTTCTATCCAATATTAACCGGAACGATGGAAAGGTACCGATCGTTCGACTCGCCGCCGGCCTGCACGGGCTTCCTATTTTCTTTACTATTTTTCTTCCTTCTACCTTTTCTTTCTTTCTTTCTTTCTTTTTCTATCCCTTTCTATCTCTCTTATACTCTTTCATATTATACAAATGGGATACATGTATATACACAACACATGCGGTTTCGTATGTATTCACTTATGAATTTAGTTCGTTTCGTTGCATTCGAACGGAACATGCACACTTACGAATGAACGAAGGAATGAACACGAAGGAACGAATCGTATTGGAAAAAAACACATACGAAACTAGCAGAGATTCTCACGCGTGTAAACGATACGATGACGAGGATGACGAGGATGACGATAACGACGAAGAGGAAGAGGAGAGGATAATTCTCGTGGAAATATAATTTCCGTGTCATGAAAAGATCCCACTTGTTATCTCAATCACTGTCGTTAATTTCACTCGAAGAGGTTATAATAGTATATATAAATATATATATATATATATATATACGTGTGTGCGTACGTCGAACGACGAGAAGCACCCATTAATTATTATTCTCGATTTTCCGCCAATCAGAATCCTTGCCGAAGCGAACGACGCGCGCGAAACAGACAGAGATGGACATATTAATATGGAAGAACGTTTTCTCCTTCAAATTCGAATGTTACACACGTTACGACGACGAGGAATATTTGTATCTTCAAACCGGTCGTTTTTTTTTTTATCTATCTAACAATAAGAGATAGATAATGATAGAGAAAGATCTAGAGAAAGATAAAGAAAGAAAATATTTCTTAGGGGAACACGCGCGAGATTAATTCTATCTCTGTCTCTGTCTCTCTCTCTCTCTCTCTCTGACTAACTCATTCACTCTTCTCGCATCGTCGTCGAACGAACGAGATGCACAGAAAAATACTATTATATCGTTTTAACACACTCGCGTATATGGAAAAAGCCATTTCTCTTTTTTTCAATAAACTTTGTGAACAAATACGACGATGATATTTTATCTTCGAACGGTTGTGAACACTTACGATGTTCTGCCGGTAATCCAATGCCACGTATTTTCCTTCCAAATTTTCTTCCAAATAACGACGACGATATTAAGAAGAATGTTAGATAAAGTTTTGTTGAAAATAATGGTTGGTAGTGGTCGTTCGATGACTACACACAACAACGACAATGAACAGTACGACGATTATGAAGACTACGACGACGACGATGTAGAGGACGGTGACGAGGATAACGCCGGCGCGGCGTGGCGAGCTATGGAGGCGCAGCAGCAGCACCGATTATTTCTCTCTTTCTCCTTCTCGTGGTGAGGTATATACTTTGTTACATAGAGAGAGAGAGAGAGTGAGAGTGAGAGTGAGAGAGAAAGAGAGAGAGAATGAAAAAAAGAATACGAGAGTAAAACGCATATAAGATACAGGGTGTACGCGTGCAATAGAAAAATTAAGCAAGCGAGTACGTATGGATAGAAAGAGAGAAAGAGAGAAAGAGAGAGAGAGAGATAGAAACAGTAAGGATAGAACGACGGCGTCTCTCGCACCTCTAAACGTGAATCAAAACGAACAGAGGCCTTTCTCTCTATTTCTCGTTGGGGCGCGGTCGCCCTGAGCAGCTTCGTTCGTTACAATTGGTGACTTTTTAATTACCTAAATGCACTCCTTAGTCATCGGGAAGAAGAAGCCCGGACCACCTTCACATCAACGCACACTGTGCACACTCGACGCGCCAAAGAAATACGGAGGGGGGTATGAAGTAAGCGAGAGACACACTACCCGACACTGGAGAAAACCGCATCACTTGGACGATACACGAACGGCTCTGCTTGCCTCGTCCTCTTCCTACGCGCTCTCGACCAATCCTCGCTTAGTTCTATCGATGCACGGCGCTGCGCGCGTCGAATCTGATCCCTCACTTGTCGAATGACACGCCTCCTACCGGCAGACACTACGTACTATACCCTACGACAATTCCCATTCGTTCATTCCTCGCGCATGCGTATCAATCGTTCTACCACCAATTTGGCGCACATTTTGAATCGATCGCGAACGCTCGCTTCTATTTTCAAAGAATCAAAGATGAGTCTTGGTGTTGCGAGCGTCGCGATACCAACTGCACGGTTGTTTCACGGACGCGGTACCCCACTGATATTCCTTTTACGCGACATTTATTCATTTTTTTCTCTGTATTTTTTCGATAAATAATTTTCTATCAATTGAACTTTCTCTTTAGTGTTTTGTTAACATATATACGAATATGAAATACAAAGTATACACATATACGTGGCTGTGTGCGTGTGACTCGTTAAATGTTATATTTTATTCCCTAAAAATTGATAAGATTTTTGTCGGAAAGAATGATATTAATCGTAATAAATTTCCTTTAAATTATATATCGCGGACGTAACTTTATATATATATATATATAAATAAAAAATATATATAATTTAAAACGCGTACGCGCGCAGAGAAGAGGTAGAAGTAAGCCGACTGGAAGGTTCAAACAATCGACTAATTGTTTCGCTGAGTTCGTCAAACGGCGTAAAACGTCGAGGGCAACTGACGTTCATCGAAAACTCGATTAGAGCGTTTCCGAACTTGTTCTCCATTCTTCTTTCTCTTTCTCACTAACACACAGATGTAAACGCACACACAGAGAGAAACTCTCAGCGGCGATTCAACTTTCTTGCTACGACGAGGCGTTCCGAAGGACGCGATCGGTTCCCGGTTGGGGGCACGGAGAGAAGGTTTTAAACGAAACTTTCCCATTTCCTACGTAAACGTCGGAAAATCGTATATATATATGTATATATAAATATATATATACATGTGAGTGGAAGGAAAGAATTAAAATCCGATTGAAAAAGGGAATGTTAGAAAACGATTTAATCTCGAATTGAATTTTGATATATCTATAACAATATATAAAACGATGTTACGTAAATATTATTTGATAATCGATTGATTCGCGTCGATTACGGTCAGATCTGATATAGTCGTGATCGTGCTAGTCGAATGAACATCAAAGAAACAGGAAAAGAAAGAACGAGAGGGATAGAGATAGTTCTAAAATAACATTTGCAAATGCTTCTTTTTTTATATTCTATCCACTCTTTGTATTTTCTTTTCTTTTTTATTATTTTTTCTTTCTCACTTCGTTTTTTACCGAGCGAAAACTGTGCGTGCCTAACACCTTTTCTCTTCCTTCTCTCTCTCTCTCTCTCTCTCTCTTTTTCTTTGAGAAAAAGAGAACGTAAGTGAGCGTGTACGTAAAACGAGTGTTGAAAGAGATCGATAAACCGATGGCCGATAGTCGATAACCGATAGTAGTGTCGTAACAGGCTCTCTCTCTCTCTCTCTCTCTATCTCTCTTTCTCTCTCTCTTTTTCTCGTTCAAGAAGACGCGGTCATTCGTATGAAAAAATTTCCTCCTCCACACACACACACCTGGCCTGTGTCCCTTTATCAGAAGCCCCCTTCTCACTCCCTCACCCTCTCTCTTCTCACTTTCTGTGTGTTACTCTCTTTTTCTCTTTCTTTCTGTCCAGAAGTTACTCGCCTACAAAATCCGACAATTTCCCTTGCCTAAGAACAATCCATCCGTAATAGAGTAACGACCATGGAAGTAATACGTACAACGAGGTATTAGGATCGTTAAACGGCTTGGGAACTTTGCGTGCCACTCAACACGACGGAACACACGCTCAGTTTTGCTTTCGTTAATGTTTCTTTTTTGTACTGTTTTTTTTTTTAATATATATTTTATAAACATTACAATCTTACGTAGTAACACTAATTCAATTCTAATAATTTTATTTTCATTTTTTTTCTCTTGTAATAGAGTATAAGTGTGTGTGTGTGTGTGTGTGTGTGTTTTCGCGATCGTCTCGTGCAACGAAATATTTGTTATATATTTCTTTAATTAATTGCTATCAATAATAATATCTTTCATTTAATTTCTATCTATTTATTAACTCCGTTTTTCTCTCTCCCTTTGAACCGTTTTGCAAACTTTACGTTATCTTCCTAATTGGTATATTTCCTTACTACGATCTTTTATTTGTTATTTCCATTGAAACTTTGCATCATAGTTAATTGCTTTGTTTTATCATCTACGTTGATTGTTTTATTTGATAATAATTGTAAACGATTCATACTATGATTATTATCATTTTATAGGTATTCCCTTTTAGGGGTATTAGCCCAGTCAATAAGAGGTGAAGGAAAAACTTTCAGGTAGAAGTTCTCGACAGTTTGATACAAAAGTAATTCGACGTCGCTGAATCRAATRGKGCTAATTTTTTTGCAATACGATGTGGCTGTAACGAGAAAAAGGGTAAAAATGGCCGTATCTTAGAATCTAGGCATTTAATCGAAAAAAGTTTCAAACAAAAGT